TTGTACTCATTGGTATTGCAAGCTAATTGAGTAATTCCTTTAGAGGGGGGAAATGAGGTTTCCTGAAAGGGACAGGGGGGGTACCATGCACAGTCAGGTACCCACAAGGATGCTGGCAGCTGAGGGCTGCTGGCACACAGACAGCCTTCAGGGCTATACCCTGTCAGCTGGCTCCCAGCTCACCTTGCTGGGACTTACTTTCCTGAGGCTGAGTGGATGTCAGGTAATCTAATAGCTACATTCTCCCTTTGGGTGCTCAGAGGTGACCTTCAGAAAGGAAGGGTTTCTCACCAGGACATTCGCTCCTAGCTGTAACATGGCTGGTGCTGTTGTGCAAACTCAGGATGTTTTCTGCAAGGGTAAGGGGAGGCTGGGCCAGGGAAAAGTTCAGGTGGTTTGCCTGGGAAGGACTCAATGCTCACTGAAGCCTCACTTGTGCGAAGTCACTTTGTGAAGAAACAGCTTTTGATTTTTAGGTTAATGTGAACAAATGCACAACGATGTCTTTCTTAGTTTGTACATGTATAGGACTCTACTTTTTTTGTTTTAAGAAATAATGTTATAACAGAAGTTAAAACTAAAGTGTACTTTAAACATTATGACAAACACTGAACTTTGGTAGAGTTTTGTTAAGATTTGAGGTTTCAAGGGGTTCTAACTTTTTGAGTACATCCTGTAGAGTTACTAAAACTGACCAAATTTGTGGTTGGTTATCAGTCTCCTGACCTTTCAGTTTTGAGAAAGAGCACATTGCTTTGGCAGCTCGGGCCATCTGTATGAAAGTTTGAAACCTCACCCTTTAGAAAGCTTGTATTGTACTTTGCTTTTGTGTGTTTTTTTTTTTTGCTTCCTTTTTGTAGTGTTAACTTCCCGTGTGCTGTCTTTAATGTCCTGTGGAGATGAGATCCTTATCCACTTTCTTATTTTTATCGTATGCAAGTGGAGCCTTGGAGCACCTTTATATTTGTTGGTAATTCAGTATTTTTGGCAGTAGCAGTTCAAATAACAGGGAAATGACCTCCTGATTTGTGCTTTAAAAAAAAATATATATATATATTTGCCGGCTGCATTTTGAGAAGTGGAAGCTGTGCTGTTAGTGTTGTAAGCCTTCCCGTGCATCTCCCAAGGGCAGCTTCAAGCAGTGCTACCAGTGAATTGCTCTTGTCATGTACATCAAGGTGCAGCTGCTGTTCACAGTCTTAAATGTACCTATGAAAAAAGCTAGGAAGGAGGCTGTGTTGACATTCTTGTGGAGAGACAAGTGTTAGGAGTACTACATCCAAAGAGTTAGCTTTGGAGAGCTGTGTGCCTCTACAGCTTTTCACCAGTAGAGCTGTATTTGTAGAGAAGCTTGTGCTTGTTTAAGTAATTGACAATAAACTAAATGTGGTGCAGCTCTATATCCGTGCTGTTTGGATGCAGAGATTAGTCCAAGTGTCTGCCAACATAGTTCTGCTGGCATAGTGCCTGGTAGCCTCATAACACAAGCACAGTTGCCTATTGCTGACAGATGAAGTGTCATGACAAAAGTAGTACCTCCTCAGCGTGGGGAAGAAATCTCTGACTGCAACTGTTTTGATACAGAGTTGTGTAAGCAGAGGGCAGATTAAAGGATAAGGTATGACAAAAGCCAATGCCAGGAAAGCAAAAGGAAAAATAGGTGAAGAAGATATGAACACACTGAGGGGAAGTTCTGAAGTTGACAGCTGTTTGATATAATCTACTTGAATTTGCAAACAAACTTAGCAACTTTCTCAAAAGTCTTGGAGTAAACTAGGCCATTGTTGATAAAGGTGCTTGCAGTGCTTGCATACGAACTAGGAAGCAAGACAGCAATGGATCTGCCCCTTGTAGATGAAGGTGAGATTTCTGCAGGGTTCTGTGCTGCAGTGAATGCTTTCATTGTAGTCATTAGTATGGTCTCTCAGTGTGGTCTTGAGAAAAGGAATAGCAAAAGGATGAAGGCTGTTGATGTTAGATGGTAGTTCAGAATTGTAAAGACGAGGACCTGCAAGGAAATTCAAGAACATGGATGTTGCTGGTGAATCTTCACTTGCCACTCTTGCCTAGTATAGGAAAATCATTGAATCACCAAGGTTGGAAAAGACCCCACCAAGATCATTCAGCCCAACTGTCCATTTACCATCATTATTTCCCACTAAACCATATCCCTTAGTACAACATCCAGATGCTTCTGGAACACCTCCAGGGATTGTGATTCTATTGCCTCCCTGGGCAGCACATTCCAGCACCTCACCAGTCTTTCTGAGAAGAAATCCTTAACATCCAACCTGAATCTCCCTTGCTGCAACTTGAGGCCATTCCCTCTCATCCTATTGCTAGTTATGCAAGAGAAGAGACTGATTCCCCACCTGACTGCAGCCTCCTTTCAGGTATTTGTAGAGAATGATAAGGTCTCCCCTGAGCCTCCTCCAGACTAAACAATCCCAGCTCCTTCAGCTGCTCCCATAAGACTTGTGTTCCAGATCCCTCACCAGCTTCACTACCCTTCTCTGGTCACGCTCCAGAGAATTCCATGTAAGAGCTCTGAGCTGATTGTTGCAACAGAAAACCAGGATTTTAGTGTTTTATGTGAATGATAACATCAGCTCAGCTGCATGATTTCAGGGGAGGATGAGGACTAGTTTATGAAATAGAATAATTATAGGGCTGTTAAATATGTGTACTTCTGAAGCCTACGTGTTTGTTTTCTGAACATAGCTGAAAGCTGGAAGAGTTTATGGGGGAATTTTTGCCATGTCATTGTTCTTAAATAGGTATCTGCTAGTAGTTGCTGTTGGGGATGATATGAGTACTTATTCAAAGGTTTTCTTAGCCTGATGTGTTCATAGCTAATCTCATGATATCTCTTAAAAAAAAAAAAAAAAAGCTTAATTGAACTATAGAAGTCAGTCTGTTTCAGCAAATGTGTTTAAGATACTTCTGCTGTTTCACCTAGCCTGCTGGCCTGGGAAGACCATGTGTGCTGTGTGGTATATGGTACACCTTTGAAGAATAGAAAGTGAGATGATGTTTAAATGGAGATGGCAAACGTATCTATAAGGAACAGCAATAGTTGATGTGATTGTCTGTCACCTTTATATGAAAATGCAGAAAAGCCAGGTTCACTGGGCACTTTGTGCTCTTTTACAAATTGAGGCTACTGGTCTCCTAGAAAAGGTCCTGAATGAAGAACAAGTTAACAGTGCATAAGGAAGAAGTTGTATATTTGGCATAGCTAAAATGTTTAGCAAGTCAGAAACAATGTTAACTGTGATATTGTTCAAGAAATGTGGAGACATCTAAGTTGTAGTTGCTGTATGTTCCCAGTTTCTGTAGGTCTTTGGTCCATGCTGTCATTCTTCTGAGCATGATATGCGAAGGAGATTGTATGGAACTTCTACAGGCAGCTTGTATCTGGATGTAAACCTGAAGTCACAGAATGGGCAAACGTTGTCTGAAACATGTGAAAATTAAAAATGAATCAGAAGTGTTACTGGAACTCCAACAATTCAGTAATAAATCAAGAATGCTTGGCTTATGGTAGTGTTGCCATTCTGTTTGGTAGCAAATACTCTATTTTTCTGAAGTGGATTGACAGACTTTTCCACAAACTAGGGAATTGAATTGCTGTGATCATGTGCAACCTCCTAAATGCTTAATTGTCAGGAAGATATTGGATTCTTCCTCTCCATGTAACTGTTGAAAAGTAGAAAAGTACCTTTGGATTTTATTTCGAATGTAGGTGTTTAAATTTGGGAGAATTGAGATTCCAATATCTCTTCATATTGAGCCTTAATATCCTGATTGTAAGGATTATATGCTCATGTTATACTTTTTTGTCCGTTCAAACAAAGCAAAGCCAACCTACTTTGGTTAAAATTCTCGTTGGAATACATAAGGAGCTGAATCTCTATATGGCAGCTAACATGAGGACTGTAAAATGGTGGCTTCTAAGTTTCTTGAACCAATGGATTATTCTTGGTGCTTCCTAAACCACTGGGCCTAAGACAGTAGTAATGGTATAGTATTTTCTTGTGTATAATATTGTTTCTGTCTTCAAGCTACTGGAAACGTCTTTTTTTGTAGGCCATGTTGAAGTATTATTTTGCTGGTGGAAAATGTTATCCATTCTGTTATGCATTTGAGAACACAGGCATTTCATTGTATGCAAGCTTTACAGTGTTCTCAACATTTAGTGTCTGTAGTTACTGGATCTTGATCATGCTTATGGTGGTACTGTGATGTTAAAGAAAACTCTGGCAATTCAGTTTGTGAAATTTTGCTATCACAGAATCACCCGGGTTGGAAGGGACCTCAAGGATCGTGTAGTTCCAACCCCCCTGCCTAGCAGGGCCACCAAACACACACATTCAGATCAGGTTGCCCAGGACCCCGTCCAACCTGGCCTTGAACACGTCCAAGGACGGGGCATCCACAACCTCCCTGGGCAAACAGCTTGGTACAGTGGCATCAAATTGACTTAATAATGTTGCAATTCTCTGGGTATTTTGTGGAACTACTTGGATTGGTTTTGTAAAGTTGGGATTAAAAATGAGTTCACAAAAAGACATGCTTGTTGTTAAAAGATGGCATTAAGAGCTTTGTCTGCAGTTAGGTGCTGAAAGTGAGTAAAGAGTTGACAAAGGGTTTCTAGCATCCTTGTTGCTTCACTTCTTTCTTCAGATTCTATTTTGTAATTTTGTTACTTTCAATTAGACAGGACTAAATTTCATATTAGTACAGATACAAAATGTGGTGTGTCATCTTGCTAGTATTTAAATTTCAGTAGATCCATTGTTTCTAAACCACAGTGATGCTTTTCAGAACTTCTGTATACACTAGAGTGAGCCCCAAATATTTGCATGTGAGGTATGCCACTCTTTAGACTACAATACTTCTTATTTCTAAAAGCTAACATAGTCCATTTCTTTTTCAGTGTTATGGCACTTGCCTGTAGACTTTGTAAGTGATGTCTGTTCTTGCATTTTTTCCTCTAGGGTTCGAAATCTGAGAATGGCAGACATTGACAAGTAAGTAAATCTGTAGGTTACTGAGACTGTAACTGGATGTCCTTTACTATGCTTCAGGTAGCCACAATCTCCAGATAGTTGAGGGGAAGGGTCTACTACAATGGGACCTTGTCATTGTGGCAAGATGTGCAGTTCAGAGCACAGGGGAAGAGCTTGGGTTCCTCATGCCAGTTAACTTATTACTTTGTTGGAATTCTGGAGGGGAAATTTATAATGTTACTTGTTAATATTGGTTCACTGTGTGTAGCTTTTTCTGTACTTTGCTTGTATTTTGTGGTGCCTGAAGTATTGTTCGTGTGAACCTAATCTCAGTTCTCAAGGCCTGCATGGCTTGGCAAAGAATATGTATAGGGCAGAAGGGGAGTCTTGAACTTGTCCATGCTGATAGGAGCTGAAGGAATTCTTTTGTGAAAAGGAATCTTCAAAGTCCTGAAAAGGTGTTAGTTCCATACAGAGTCTGAAAGTGACAGTGACTTATAAAGGCAAGTTTGTCTTTAGCTATTAAAACTTTCAAGCATCAGCTTTTAATCCACAAAAATCTGTTTGCTTCTACCAATGCAGTCTCTAACTTGAACTCTTTAAACTTGTTGTAGATTAAAAAAGAAAAGCCACAAACTTTTCAATCCTATTATTAAATATTCCTAACAGCAAAGAACAATCTGAACTTGATCAGCAAGATATGGAAGATGTTGAAGATGTGGAAGAAGAAGAAACTGGTGAAGATGCCAACAGCAAAGGTAGCATTGAAAAGAAGGCTTTTTAAGTAGCTGCAGAACTGGTTTCTAATCAATGTTAAAAGGATTTTATATTTTAAAGGGAAGTGCTGAATCATGACTACTGATACACCACTTTCTTTGAGTTCTCAAGCAATGACTTCTTTTCAGCTTTGTGTTTTCTGTTGTCTCAATTGCATTACTCATCTTAGTTGTGGTAACAGTGCGAGTGGTGCTGGCCACCTATAAGGACATATAAGTGGAAAAGAGAAGATTGTTGTTATCATCAGATGGTTCCAAATCTAATGGCAGTTAAATGCTTTCAAAAAAAAAAATCAATTGCGTATTTGTATCATCTTGATTATTTCTTAGTAATTTGCTGCTAAATTGTTTGAGACCGGAGTTAAAATGTTGTTACCAGTCTTAGAAATAAATCCTTCGTCCTTTCTCTGAAGAGCAAGTACTTGAAAGAGAAAGTAACAGTTTGTTACAAGAGATGATAGTCTGGGTCACTGATAATGCTCCCTTCTGTGATTGCTCAAGCAGAATGGTAACAGTAAAAAAAATTCTCACTAAAAAAAAGTAGAGGCTTTGTATCTGCTGAATGCGTTTTCAAAACTGGATTGCAAAATTTTGAATAACACAGGGCAGCCAAAGAAAAGCTTTCACTAATTAAGTGGTAAGTACTCAAGTGTCCCAAAGGAAACTAGAGATGAGTAATGTGTATTTTTAGTAATTAATTCCCAGCAATTGTACGTGAGGATCTGAGAGGAGTAATTACGCTATATGAATCTTGGAGAGAAATTGAGTTTTCTAGGTAAGAAATATGTTTAAGTGCTAGGGGACTAAAATGATTTGTGAAATGATGTTATCAAGCAATTATTTTGCTAGTTTTCTAGTAATGTTTTGCATGCATAATTTAAGTTTTGCTGATCTTAATCTTTTTTTTCTTTACCTGGTTGATTCTATTTTTAAATATTTTGAAGTTCTTTCAATAAATGCTTAAGTCAAGCACTCTTGCTTTTGGGGGAAAACCTCACAGGGAACGTTTGTGGACTTGTTCTTGCTGTCCAAGAACTTGCAAAACAGAATATCTGTTAGATTTCAGTTAAAGAGAGTGGGGCTGTTGGTATTGACATGCCACCTGTATCATGTATATATTAGGTCGGTGTTACAAACAATAACTGGCAACAGATTCAAATGGCAGTGTTGAGTGGGTTTTTAAATGTAAGACTAATTAATAGTTAGACCAGAGAAAATGTAGATAGCAAGAAGGGGTGGTGTTGACTAATGTGGATTAACACATAATTACAGCTTCCACTGCTAAAATATAAACTGCATCCTTTTTTGGATGTCACTTGAAACATAATTTTTTTTCAGTATGCAATTTCAGTGCTAGAGCATAAAAGTAGAAGAGAATATTCGTGTAGTTATTCTAGAAAGGGGCATAGAAATAGAGAATCACGTTCCAAAAAATGTAACTTCAGGAAGGACTGAAAAGCTCTGCTTTTATTTCAAGGTATCCTTTAAAAGAATGCTATACAAACATAGTAAAAAAGTACAGAATACATGTTTGCATACCTGTAAATCTTGAGGATGAGGGAAGAAGGCAAAAAAAAAACCACATGATTATAAATTATCATAAATTCTTATTAAAAATGAATTTAAGTTCCTTTCTGCAGGTTACTGAGATGTAGACCTTGAGCTAAAATAAAAGAATTGATGTTAATATGGGTAATGGGAACACTTAGGCTAGCAATTTGTGTTTTCCAAAATGGACTTCTATCGTATGATTTGAAACAGTTATCCATTAGGGCAAATTACTTTTGAAATATGTAGATAATAGAGATCAAGACTTCAACACTGTTCTGTAGTCAACAATATGTCAGACTGAGCTGACTGGATTGCTGTGCTATTTCTTCAGGAAAAAAATAGTTCTAATGAATAATTTATTCTTTTTGCAAGAAATAATATGTAAGCATAGACTTGTAAACCAGTTCTATGCCCAAGTCTGAAACAGTCTTGTTTCTCTCCATTTATCGGAAATGGAATGAAAACTCCAACTCTAGTGATATCTAGTGATAGGGTGGACTTGTTTATAGTAAGGGGCATGGTTTAGTGGGGAAATATTGGTAGTAGGTGGATGGTTGGACTGGATGATCTTGGAGGTCTTTTCCAATCTTAGTGATTCTATGGTCCATGCATCTAAAATGGAGACATTTGAAATAATTCTGCCCATGTTTCTTCTTAGAGTAATATAAAGTCAATGTATTATTTTTTCTTAGTATTTAAACCTCTTTCAAGCCTAGTCTAGAAGATATGCTTTGCATTTACAGAATTTTCATTTTGATTTTTAGCTCGGCAGTTGACTGTGCAGATGATGCAAAATCCTCAGATTCTTGCAGCTCTTCAGGAAAGACTTGATGGTCTGGTAGGAACATCTACAGGATATATAGAGAGGTAAATACTTGTTCTAATTCAGTACGAGCAGAGTGATATAAATGCTTTCACTTTCTCAACAATATTGTCTTTAAAATGATTAATAATCATAAACCACTGCACTGCCTAGGTAGTAGGAAACATATAATCAGCCACTAATGCATTTCAAATTAGAAGGCTTTCTATTTGAGCCCTTTTAAAGAAAAGAATGCAAAAATATTTAGTGTCTGATAATGTTTCATGCAATTGCAAAATGTCATTCTGTCCTGTTTTTATCAGTATATTCCATATCATGACATCATGCAGCAGGCTGTTGGTGCAGATGCACACTGCATTGCAGAGCTGTACTTCCTGGTTTCTCTAGCAGCTTCATGTGAATTCTGACTCTCCAAGAGGAAGATACACTGAGATGTACTGCATCATCCCAAGAGCCTCCACATGATTTCCATCTCTGGGTGATGGGGAAGAGCTCTATTGTCTTTTCTGGGAGACCAGCTGTGAGGGCCTGCTGATAAGGACTCAGACTGATTCTTTCTCTTCTCCAGTTTTATTTTTGTTTCTTTTTGCTTTACTGCTCTTAGTTTTTCAGTATTATCTCATGTTCCTTTTAATAAATCCATTTCTCTTATCTCAATTGGATTTTTTTTCTCCTCTTCCTCCCTCTGCATTTGTCCCAAGGGAGGAGAGAGATGTTGCATGGTTAACCATGACACATACATACAGACATTTTTCCCGGAATGTGTCCTCAGTTTTGCCTGAATTTGAAACATGGACAAGTACGTGGTCACTTGTGGTCATGCTATAACCACAAATTGGGGGTGTTGTATCAATACTTAATGTGGACTCCTTATGCATCAAAATTTGAAACAATCTGTTGCTTACTAAAGTTTTCTGCTCTAACAGATTTATCTAGCTTCTCCCTGTAATTTCTAATTGTTTGAACTTTTCACCACGTGCACACGAGTTGTAAAGCACAGAACTATCTGACTGTGACAGGATCCTGTGTCGCTCTTGATGTTAACTGAGATGGCTACTGAATAACAGGATTTGTTCCAGCTAGTCCTACCACTTTCCTTTATTACAGCCAGTAGCATAGAAGAAAAGCACAGGCAACTAATAGCCTACCCTAGTAACTACAGGTCTAGGAAGAGCATAGAGTCAAAGGACTACACAGGTTCTTTACACTGTGTTCTATATGCTGTACAATAAGGCTTTCTATATCTAATACATTTTTTTGACAGATACTGATTTATCTCTGCTAATCTTTCGGGTCCTAGATGTAAGAAGTGAACAGAAGTCATAACATGTATTTACTTGGTATTTTCCCTGTCAGCTGTTCTCTAAGATACTGTACCTTTCTGCATATATTCCAAGTCTTGTAGTGCTTTTTCTTGCAAAGCATTGCAGCTTTGCTATACCAAATGCTTGCCAAACTTACAGTAGAAAAATAGCTGGAAAATGCGTAACTTGAATCTATGCTTCCTTAACATATGCATGCTGATCTAAGCATGCTTTACAGGGACTTCTTATCTGTCTTACCAAATGTTGTTTTAAGTTAGTTTGTTTAAAAAAAAAAAAAAAAAAGTCTCACCATTGAGGTGGCACAGAAGTCAGAAGGAATCTGGGAACCTAAAAGATGGTTGTGTGGGCTCTTAAAGAACTAGTGCACAAGCTGGTGGAGAAGCTAAACATGTTCCAGGAAAAGATTTATCTGTCTGTTTGGGCTTAAAATCTGCAAATTGTTTGGCCACACTCTAATAGCTCACCTTTTTACCTTCACCTGGGTACAAAGATTTTAATTTTAAGTTTTCTTTCGTGGATTCTCCTCAGCTGTGAGCTGGAGGTTGGATTCTAGTGTGATTGCAACATTTGCTAGTGACTTGTATTCAGAACAAGTTTTATTTGCCACTATTGTACTTAAGGTAGTCTGGTTCAGATTTCATGATCTCTTTTTGCCATTTTGGATTTGTTTTGCATTAGCTGCTTTTTTCCTTTTTAAGGAAACTACTTTTTTAAAAAATATGGAATTTACCAGTGTAGTGGGTGTACAAGTTTTGAAACTTGAACTAGTTGGCACAGACTTAGGGGGGGGGGGGGGGAAGTTTTCTGGCACTTGTGGAAGATTTCAGTTCTCTAATAAAGAGGTTACAATCTTTATTTGGATGTCCTGGAATTGGAATTCCTATGCATATCTTTTTTTCCTCAGTTTTTTAGTGTTGTATGTAGTATGAAACATGTTTTGATGCATGTTGGTGAAAGGAGCTGGTTAAGGAGCGGTCAACATGTGCATAGAATGCAGGGTTTGTAACAGTTCTGTCGCTGTATTTTTCAGCTTGCCTAAAGTTGTTAAAAGACGTGTGAATGCTCTCAAGAATCTTCAAGTTCAGTGTGCACAGATAGAAGCAAAGTTCTATGAGGAAGTTCATGAGCTGGAAAGAAAATATGCTGCTCTCTATCAGCCCTTATTTGACAAGGTATTTTAATGCTTGTCTGATTTGTACTTAAAAGCTTTAGCTAAACCAAAAGGGAATATAAACTGAAAGCTTATGTATGTTCTGAATTACCTTGGTCTCCAATGTGCCTGTTCAACTGAATTGACACTATTTCACCATCCGTGTGAATCTCAGCTAAGAATAAGGAGAAAAGTTGTCTGTTCCATGGTTAACAAAGTCACTTCAGTATATTAGGCCTCGTTATGTTAACTGAGCAGATGTTAGGTGATGTGGTAACCTTTCTGGAATGCTGGTTCTTCAGTGTATTATGTATAACATTGTTAACTGCTGGGTCTTCCTAGAGCAAGAAGAGAGCATTCGGTTAAGTAGTTAATGCTTTATGTGAGACTAGAATCAGGAGTTTATTGGTTAGAGTATTGCTAATTGGAATAACTAAAACATAAGTATCTTTGGTTCAATTTTTCAGCGAAGTGAGATCATCAATGCAATCTATGAACCTACAGAGGAAGAATGTGAATGGAAAGCAGATGCTGAAGAAGAAATTTCAGTGAGTATCATAATCAATTCTCACCAATCAATTCTCCACCTTTAGCATGAAACTAGATTCAATAGATAAATAAATACATTTTTTCTCAAAAGGAGAATTTTTGTAACGATTGACTGTGTATTATTAACTACATCCTTCAATCATCTTCATGTGTACTATTATCAGCTAAAGACAGTGAACAAACTTGATGGAGGATGGTTTTTAAAGTTTAGAAAAATTAATGTTTTTATTCTATCAAGGAGGAAATGAAAGAGAAAGCCAAGCTTGAAGAAGAAAAAAAAGATGAAGAAAAGGAAGACCCTAAAGGAATTCCTGAATTTTGGCTGACAGTATTTAAGAACGTGGACTTGCTCAGTGATATGGTTCAGGTAGGTAGTAGATCAGATTGCTTTGATGTTGCTTTAGTATTTAATCAAGTGTGCTCTACAAGGAAGGTGAACAAACACAGTACTTGTCTTCTGGAGAGTAAAAATTGAGCCAGTATTTGGATGTCATCTGGTCACTTATTCAGCTCAGAGCAGAGAGCACTCTGAAATGTCGTCTTATTTTGTTCTTATTTGTTGAAATTACAACTTTGCATAGACAGTCCACTAGTAAGATATATAGGAGTGTTCGCATGAAATATGTACTATTGCTAAAATTTGTATTTACTTTGCATGAGATTTAAGCTGTGAGCTGCAGTGAAAACTGAGCTGCTGTTGTTGCCATCTGCTGGTCATGTTCATGGAACAAAATATTTCAGTGCTTGGACAAGGTTCTTGTTGAGATTCATTGGTTCTAAATATACCTTTTCATCTCTGCCGTGTCTTAATTCTGTGTACAAATCTTATGAAAATTTCATTAACACTTTATTTACAGGAACATGATGAACCTATCCTGAAACACTTAAAAGATATAAAAGTGAAGTTCTCAGAAGCTGGACAGCCTATGGTTAGTTTAATTTACTAAACAAGAGTTCTGCATTATCTTAAGGCTTGTATTTGTATATCAACAACACGGTCTGTAATAAGCAGTTGTCTTATGGCAATCCTGAGAAATGTGTAGCTAGCTTCTTGTCCCCTGTAGAACAGTACAGAGACTAATTCTGAAGTACCATCTGTATGAATTCAAACTTAACGTTTGGATTTTAGTGAGTTAATAACTTGACCTTAGTATTTGATTAGTTCATTTTACCTTTAAAGTTTGAGAATTTGAGGCACTTTTTGTATAACTACTATAAGAGAATATAATTTCCTTTCTAGAGACCAAATAACTTGCAAAGATAAAAATAGTATATCTCTATAATCAGGAAAGTAGCACCAGGGAATCTGTATGTGATGTGAGATCTTGTGCTCATTTCTTAACGTACTGCTTGAACCAGTGACATGAGATCAGCATAGTAAGTGTAAGCATCTGAATATTTACTGTACAATTTGGGCAGCAAATTCTAGGATAAGTTGTGCATACACCACTTCAGAGTTGGTAGAGATGGACATATTCATTTGCATGTTTATTGTTGATTTTGATCTTCAAGTATTTAGAAATTAAAAGCATGTGTTGCTAGATTGCTGATGTTGTCTCTTTGCAATTCTTAAGAGTTTCACATTAGAATTTCACTTTGAACCAAATGACTACTTCACAAATGAAGTGTTGACGAAGACGTATAGAATGAGATCAGAGCCAGATGATTCTGATCCCTTTTCCTTTGATGGACCAGAAATCATGGGTTGTACAGGGTAAGTGCTAATGAATAGCCATATGGTAATATAATGGTTTCTTCCTTATTATCCAAGTGTAAGCTTTTAATTACCTAGTAACTTGTAACTAGCTAGGCTCAAGTTTGAGGTTAAAACTTATTGAAAACTGCCATCTTTTAACTTCCCATTAGTTTGAAACATCTGACTCCATTCCTCATGTATCCACCTAGTGTTACTTTCAGTTTTTTATCATGTAATATAGAAATATGAAAAAATATATATATTGTGTAATCTAAACATTGATGCAATTTGTAAGTTCATAAATAGCATCTATATATACATACAGTTAAATTTAATACTCTTTGCAAATTGTGTTCTGCAACAACTGAAGCTGAATTGGAAGTTGGATAGTATTCTTCTAGTGGGCCTTGATAGCTTTTTAAGAATCTTGTTAGATCATATTTTGGAAACCTTTTGTATTTCTGGCATATAGGTTTTTTCAGAGGGCAAGTCCGTTTTTATGTTCTGTATTGCTGTTGTCCAGTTTATAATAGCTGAATGTTTGCCTCTCTGAGCACCTTTCAATTAATCTATTTGAGAAGTAGAGAACAGTCATATCTAAGTCCAATTTTCTCATGATTTTGAAGATGTCACATTTGGTGGTCTCTTCTGTTCTAAATTAGCTATAATTCCTTAGATTATTTAATCTGTTCTGCACATATCCATTGTGAACACTCTTCTGAGCAGTAACAACTAGAGTATCTCACTGTCACTTTGGGCTGGTTTTACCCATGCAATACTGTGCTCATAGTGATACTGACTGATGCTTTCCCCTTCGTTTCCCAGTCACTTAATGTAATACCTTGCTACAAATGTCCTGTAGGAATTAGTCTGCTTGAGTACATTTGATCAAACTCCCATAATTCGGGCTGTTACTGAAAAGCATATCTCCTGGCAGAGATGCCTGTGAGATGACTGCCTTTCTGAAAATGATTTATGCAGAGCAATGACTGGGAATGTTAGGACAGCAACTTCTTATCCTTAAACAACTCACCTCTTTCCTTTGAATCTGCAAAAGATCTAGTCAAGAAATGTCTTCAGCCTTATTTTTGTGACTTCATTTACCTTTTCCCAGAATACAGTGTCAGTCAAGCCTGTGGGTATGATTCTTTCTCTGTAAACAGCAAATAACCTTGATATTTCATGTTCAGTGTATTCCTTAAAACTGTGATAGTTTCTGTGTAGAAAGCAGAGATGTTCTAAGCTACAACCTTTTTTTTTCTTCCCCAGCTGCCAAATAGACTGGAAAAAAGGCAAGAATGTTACTTTGAAAACAATTAAAAAGAAGCAGAAACACAAGGGTCGTGGAACAGTTAGAACAGTGACAAAAACTGTTTCCAATGACTCCTTCTTTAACTTCTTTAGTCCTCCTGAAGGTAAATAAAATATTTGTGTATTTACATTAACTTTAAATGTAGTATATAATTCATTCACTTATTTCCTTTCTTTCTTCTTTTTCTCACAGTTCCTGAAAGTGGAGACCTGGTAAGTTGTCTTATCAGAAGAGTTTGGGGGTGAGGGAATCACCAGTGAAAGGCACTCATATACAGTATGCTTTCTGAGATTTGTTTGGGAATTTAAATTGTTTCAGTTTTAACTTAACTTGGGAACATTTGTGATAAATAGATAAATAGTTTTTCTTTGTTAGAACAATGGTAAAGTCCAGTTCATTTCACTTTAACAGCTTATTGTAGCAGAGAACATCTTTTAGGTGTGCAAATGCTTTACATTGGGGTGATCAATGAGAATCATGAAGATACTTACTTAGAAAGTTTAACCTGGTTAGTATTTAGTTCTTAATGCTGTGCATGCAAACTGAAAATGTATGGATGATATTACATTTAAGTAGAAAAATGGTTTAAGTTGTTATGTAGAGCAAGAAGGAAACTTAAACTCCAGGGCTTTGTATGGTTAAGTTTGCTGAAGCAGCAAACTCTGAACTCCATAATGTGTGTAAATGCTTGAAGTATAAAACTTGATCTCACAATCTCAATTCTATAATTGCCTTGAACCAAGAACTCATGAGATGGGGATTTGTGTAAATCTGTCCACATCAAAATTTGTGCAGCTTGTGTTTTGCAGTCAAATGTAGTTACCAACTTATGATTTAGAACATTAAATTGTTTTATGCAGGATGATGATGCTGAGGCAATCCTTGCTGCAGACTTTGAGATAGGTCATTTCTTACGTGAACGTATTGTCCCCCGATCAGTATTGTACTTCACAGGAGAAGCTATTGAAGATGATGATGATGATGTAAGTAATGTCCTTCTGTGCTAAAAGCCTCTATATACTGTTGCTTGTTTTTTTGTTAACTTCTGACTCCTATAGTTAGTGTTATTATCCTTAGAATAGGAGGCATTAACTTTAGTTTCAGATAGACTTCCTAGGATGTTATGTAAAGAACAGCATGAAGGTAATTAATCTTCCAAGTACTGAATTCAGAGTTCTGTGGCTAAAGTACTAATAGATGACCACTTAAAGTGATGTCTGAATAAAAGTTTGTGTACAAGTCATTCCTAGATTGATGTACACAATACTTGGATAGCAAAATGAGCTGCTAGAGAACAAATTAGTCTACTTATGTAGCTGGTCAGCCTGTTTATTATACCCACATGGCTACTAAGTTTTTGAGCTTCAGGCTTTCAGGAGAGCTCTTTTTAGAAAATGAGAGCAAGTTTTTTTTTTTTTTTTTTTTTTGAAAGCAGGTTCTTCAAAAGCATTCAATGCACTAAAGAAGCTAAAGCTGAAAAACAAGCTGCAAAACCCAAGAATTTGACAAATTTACTAAACCTGTTGAGTTGATTCAGCTAAGCTAGGTCCACCATTGAGCTGAATTTTTAGAATTTAGAATGGTAACCTTTAGTCCAGTAGTGTAGCAGTTGATGGGTAGAAGATGGAAGTGACTGTATGGACTGCTTTGTAGTTCAAGACACTTTGTTGGACAGAGGTATTACCAGTTTAATAATCTCTTCCAGTGTTGCATGTAAGGAATGCAAGGCAGGAAGTGTTCTCTGCCTGAGCATAGTTTGAGATTAAGTGTTATTCATTCTGATTCATAAAGCTATTTCTAATCAGTCAAATATAGGATGTTCTCTTAAAGCATAGTACTGTGTGTATGGTTTCTGGCATCAACTTAAGTTATCTTACATGAACTGATGTCTGTAATGACTACGTTTATGATAGTCAAAACTATTTCTTTCTTTCCTAGTATGATGAAGAGGGTGAAGAGGCAGATGATGAGGTAAGTTGACAGATTGCTTTGATTTAAATATCTTCTCTCCTGTAGCCTGTGTAGAATAAGTTCCATCATTTTTTTAAATCCTGTGAAAGCAAGTTTAAATTATACTTATGAAAGTAAGATGCATCAGCTTGTATTTTGTGATCCAGAGTGAATATTACAAACAAAACAGCAACAAAAATAATACTACAAATCAAATTGCAACTGATGTCAAAAAATGTGCTTTGTTGAGGGTCAGTATGCATAAATTGAAGTGGTAGTGAAAGTATTTCAGAGTAGAACTTCATCAGAGTTCTTGAGAATGGCTTGGGAAGCTGAATGTGGATAAGCTAGTGAAATATGAACAACTGTTTTCTTTCAGGAGGGGGAAGAAGAAGCAGATGAAGAAAATGATCCTGATTTTGACCCAAAAGTAAGAAATTAAGAGAATGTTTCAAGTGTGCATGTGCATTCATATTCCTATTATCTAATGAAAGTTAAATATCAAGTTTTACTTGAAACATTTAATAGCTCTTAGAGTAAGTGTTTTTTGGCTGAGACTGTTTTGGTTCCAGTTCTGATGGTCTAATATGTGTAAGGCAACTTCTTTTTTTTTGTTTTTTTGTTTTTTTGTTTTTTGAAGTTCCTTCACTAAGAAACTTTCTGTGAAGTGACATTTTACTTTGAATGCTGAAATCTGTCAAGCTCAGTTTTTTGTTAACTTGGAGCAGATTCCTGGCTTAGTTGAGTAATGTGAGTGTTCTGTACTAGTAATCAGAAAAGTACAAGTAATAAACACTCAGTTTTGGGGAACTTGCCATAATCTGGTTTTTGTACTGTACTGGAGTGGGGTTTTTTTTGTTTTTGTTTTTTTTTTTTGTTTTCAAGGGAGATGATAGTGAGCCTGTACTTCTTGAGGCAACATATGTCAAACTTCAGGAATGCATCTACAACCAAGCACTTGAATGTGGGCAACTAAGAGCAATGTGCAGCTGTGTTTCATGTTTAACAGTCAGAGTAAACGAGCAGTTAAGCTCAGTTCACTGGAAAAGTGATTGTGAGCAACTAAATTCTTAGCTTTCCCTTAGCTGAGGGGAAGGCATCCTTAACCAGCTGAAAGCATCTGATGGTCGAGGGAAAGCTATAGTCAGAAAGTCAAGCTAAGTTGAAAGTGTGCTACAAAATATCCTTCCCATTTCTAATCTAGAGGCAGTATATTTTTCAGTAGGAATACTTTTATCTGAAAGTAGTAGTACCATAATTCTAGCATTGTACTGGAAAAGATGTGGGCTATGGAACTACTAATAACAATGTATGACTTTGTTGGAGGTGTTTCATCTGCAGTAGAGTATTCCAGTTCAATATAGTTCTGGAATCAAAATGAAACTGCTGCAAACTGGGCGTCTGATTTCTAACACTTCAACTGTTTTTGCAAGTTGTGTGACTGAGGGCAAGATTGTATGCTCAGTTTCAGAGAGAACTGCTGTAGGCTTGTGGAGAGGTAGGCAGTAGTGGTACTATACTGTTTTGGAAAGAATAGATAATCATAAGTTAATCACAGACTGGAAACTAGATGAGTTTATGAAAGCACTGCAGTCTGAAAATAGCTGTCAACAAAAACTTGCAACTCTTCACCCTCAAAAGCCTTTTCAATAAATTCCCATGTTAACTGTGAGGTATTGCTGATTGCCTGCTTCAGTGCAGAAGAGTTTGTAATATCTACTTGAAAATTTTCTAGGAACTGTACTTTATTTCAAAATATCTTTCCTGAGTGTTAAGAACGTACCTTGATTTTTGTTTCATTGCACTGCTGTACGTTGGATCTGAAGTAAGGCTGTGCCCTTGTCAATCAAAATGAAGGCTGTGGGTGTTTTTGTTTCAAACTGTTTAGAAGGTGTGGCTGTCTCTGTGCCAGTGTTTGATACAACTTATTGCCCTTTGTCTAGTTTCAGTGTCATTCAGAGTATGACCATCGTGCTTGATTCTGAACAGATTTTTATTCTCAATGCACATAACAAAAAAAAAACTGTTGTGAATGTTACCACTTGTAAAGGTACTAGTAATATTGGACAGTTAGCTCAGCTGAAGAGATGCAAGAAAAATCTGACTGCTGGAAGTTGACGAAGTATGTTAACGATTTGAATAATTCCTGAAGTATTGATATCTGTGAGCTGATATTTCCTTTTTTTTTTTTCCCCCCCTCCACAGAAGGATCAAAACCCAGCAGAATGCAAGCAGCAGTGAAGCAGTGTGTATGTGGCCTTGAGGATTACCTGCACTGTAATAGCCTAAACACAACTATTAGTTACTTACAGCCTTATGTTTTGTATCTTGGTAGAATTAAGTAACCAATTTGTTAAAAAATGGAATCAAACACATAAGAACCAGTTTAAAATGTAGGTTCAATCTACCTAACATTTTAACAGTATAATTTTCTGCCAATATGTAGAATGCAGTAAATCCCCTAAAGCATGAATGTTAATTCATTGCTACATAGTTTGGTTCTTGTGAAGTCTTTGTCATGTAGCTATTAGACTGCAGCTGTGAAGATTATCAGAACTGTTAACTGAGACCAATATTTGTTTAGAGAAAGCTCTCTCCTGAAGAACCAACCAAAGTATTTTTTCAGCCCAGTAGTCTGAACGGGTTTAAGTCTGCTTGCACTAGCTGTGCCTTCATTACTTTGTTATAGAAATGGCAGTGACTTGTACTAACTAGGAGATGATGATGCGTTTTGAATTTGACTACTTGAGAAGACTAGTATAACTTGTTTAATTTCCAATGAGACCACATTAAACGTTCATACCTGTCAGCTTGTTTATGCTATGGGTTTTGTATTTTATGTGACATAGTGATCTACAAAAGAAACCTAGCCATCATATTAAGGTTATTGTTTACCACGGGGTGTGAATAAAACCTAGTATTTTCAGAAGCTAGTCTTGTTTTATTATGGTGTGTTCTGCATGTGTAAACTGATAAGGCGTATCTCATGCTGCAGTTAGTTCACTGTGCTAAAACTGAAATTGGGAATTATTGAAAAGTTCTATAGCATCTTAAAAACAGTAGTTTGGATAGATATTGATCCATATTTTTTACTTGCAGTGTGATACCTGTGAATCTGATCTACGTGTTTCAGTGGTTGGTCAACACTGCCATTTTGAGAAGACAATTGTTCTTAGAAGTGGGGCTAGATCTAATGAAGGACTTGGATATTGCCATGCCTGATTCTAATAGAGAATTGGAATATTGGCATGAAATCTGGAGTGAAGAAAGTAGTGTGGATTTCCAGCCTGCACAGCCAGAGCTATGTTGTCCTGAACAAAATCTACTTTGTAACCTAACAGACTGCTAGAACATCTGGCTGTGTTCTAATTTGAACTTGGTGTTAAACATCTACAGAGGAGGAACCAAACCCCAAGGAGTTCTTCCTTCCTCACCTAATGTTCTGTTCACTTTGTTTGCATGATTTGATTCATTTGTTGTCTATCCTGGATGCTCTCTGTCAGCTGAACCATGTGCTAGATCTGTCTCATTAGTTTTGTCCCTAGGTGTTCTCAGTGTGAATTTAAATGCATTCAGATTGAGGAGATTATTAACTGATATCTTTCATGCAAGTTATTCCAGTCAAAAGGACACTAATGTACTCTAGATTCTTGTTCATTACGTAGCTGTAGAAGTTCTGACTTAACAAGTATGCAGATAACTTTTTGAAGAATGGGAAGGTCCTCAGGACAGTGGAGAAGTGTCCAGCTAGCTGTGGATGTGTTTCTACAGTAGCTACTCTTTGCCACTAACATAATGAGGTAGGCATAAAGAGTGAAGGGACTGAGAAGAGCAGGGTGAGCAAGAAGCAAACTGCTATGTCAGGATGAGGTTGTGGAGGCCATGTTAATCTTGCACGTTTCTTGTTTAGAGAATAGGTAATATGTAATGAAGCTTATCCTAAGTGCTCTTCTTAATCCTCAGCCCCTTTGAAAGGAGGATGGTCTAGTGTGCTCAAAACTGTTATTTTATTCCTTGGTGTCTTGAATACTATAGTGATTAATTACAGAATCCTTGTCAGATGTCATCTTTCTCCTCACCAGATACCTATGGGAAAAGGAACCTTTGTTATCTGTAGCTGTATAGAAAACAAATGCGAAAGCTGTGCTTTTAAATGTTTTTCTGATAACCTATACATCATAGCATAGGAAAATATAATAATAGGAGGCAAACAACAGTATCTCTAGTTGTTGTGTCTTAAAGTAGATGTGGTTGTGGTCTTGTGATAACGTTAGTCCTGATAGAATGTGCTTATCCTTTGAGACACTGGTGCTGCCAGGTGTTTTACTTGGCTATCTTTGTCTCTTTGAATGTCTCCCAGGATCGAGTGAAAACCAACTACTGGTTGTTTCAACTTGAACTTCAGGGTAGACAGAGACCAAACTGATATTTAGCAGTTACTAAGGAAGGGCTTTGGGATTCATACTTCTAGACCTAAGTATCTAAAGTCCTTACTTAAATCCAGCCCATTTTTCTAACAGTATCTGGCAACAGTCTCCCAGGTGGAGAAAGTGCTGTAGGAAGTCCTCCAGCACACTTCAAGCTGTTGTTCATATGAAATGTGGCTTGTATTTAAATTGTTTTCTTATTTGAATCTTGTGCAGTGTGATACAGTATTTGAAAAGAGGAGTTGATAAATGTTAAGGATCATCCATGGATTGCAAAATCCAGAACTGTGAATGCGTGTCTGTGGGCAGATTTTGGTAAGCTGTCTCTAGACTGACTAGCTAGTGCTTGGGCTCAAGTTGAGGTGCCAGTCCCTGAGGTATTGGTTTATTAACTGTGTTGATGCTTCACACAATTTCATGATCAACAACACTCCTCTTGAGCAGTTCTGAAAGGCAGTATGGAGCAGGAACGTTAAACTTTCTGCAATGATTGTGACTCATTCTTGTCACTTCCTGTGGATTTATGCCAGCCGTAGAGAATCTATTTATTTAGTATTTCAGGAATTACCTTGTTACCTAACTATTTCAGGTTAGGAAAATGTGTCACCAGAAACTGAATTTCTTGATGAGTTGTTGCAATGGTACACTAGAACCTCAATGAGGGTTTTCTGTCTAGTTCTGATCACTAAGCAAGCTGCTGCTTGTTGTTTCTATATTCTGGCAACTGTAAGTTACACTGAAGGATCTGACTTTTCTTACTGAACTTTTCTATAACTAGCTTGATAAGCTTAGATTTCTTAATTGGATTATTGGAACCAATGTTTCGCAAGCTATGTAGCAAGTAGCTTAACTTTTTAAGGTTTTAATTGCTAAGTGAAAAAAACACAACAGAATGTAAGAAACTGCAGGAATGTAACATATTCATCTTTGCCTTCAAGCTGATATTTAAACTTTCTCTCTGTTAAGTCCCATTGTTGTAGACTTTGTTCATAAATTAGTAGAGCATGAGAGCTAATCATCAGTTTGTATGTCTAACAGTAATTGTTCTATTCAGAAATGTCTGTGCAATGGTTGTTTCTCAGATACCTTGTGTTAGATGGGAGAATTGCACTGTGTTCTTCTCAGTGACAAAAATGCTGTACTTGGTATGCATTGGACAGTCTGATAATTAAGGCATTTCTGTATATGATGGCTTTGATGGCCAGCTGGTTGGAGCTTGAGCTGTGCATGTTTCTGAGGAGATGGATTTAGTTCTACAGCAGTTCCTGCTTCATTCTGTGCTAACGTAGCTACTTTCAGTTAGGGTGCAACCCTGTCAAAATCTTTTCTTGTACAGGCTAGTTAAATGTTTGCTACTCACCCAGCCTTTGCTTTCACTTCTGAACTGCTCAGTTCTGTTTATTCTCAGATCTAACATTATTCTGTTGAGAATCTGTTTACAGATTCTCAAACTTTCAAGAAGACGTCAAAGTAGTGACTTCTACTTTCTAATGCTTACCTGAAGCAAATAAATCCATTTGTTAGAGTGGGAAGTCCCACTTTTGTGCCCTCTCAGATCAAGAGTTGGAAGCTTGTCTGCATAACCAAGTCAAGTGATAGTTCCACATTCATCACTTATGAAATGTTCTGTTGGACATGTTAGCCTTCTGCTTCCTTGAGCTCTGGCAGGAAAACTAGAACAAGCAGTGCAGAGCAGCATGGAGCACACCAAGCAAAAGATAAAGCTGTTCTGCATTTGCATCTCCTTATGTACACTAGAAGTGGGTGTGCATAGTGTGAGGGTTTGGCAGAAGAGCTTTTTTGTTTTAATAGATATCTAACCTAAATACCTAACTACGGTGTGCTGAGATGGGAAGAGTGGGCTCTTCTGCTTCCTCCTTTATTTAGCTGTTGTTTGAAGTACTTTTTTATGTTCAAGTGTTGCAACTTTACACCCAAGCTTGATGTTTAATCCTAGCATTAATGAAAAGCAGACTTTGTTCTAAATGCACGGCACATTTACCCAGTGCTAGGTGCTCAAATCTGAGACTCTTCATGTCACTTAAACCTCTTACAATCTGGTTTTGCTCTCTAATATGTGTTTTACCACTTTGTGACATGTTTGGAAGACAGCTGACTGTGGATTGGAAGGGACTCTGGGAAAGTCAGGCCTGAAGCAGCTGCAGTGCTGGTGGTCTGTGTCTAGATACTGCTATGGGTTGTAAGGAATGTGAAGGCCTGGGGCAATGCAGTGAATAGTTTTGGTCAATATTTTATCAGCTTGTGAACTCTGTAAGGCGTGCACAGGTATCAGCGAGATGGAATTCATAAGAGATTGCCACCAGATTCCACACGCAGTGCTTCAAGTGTTCTGTTAGCAGGAAGTTCCTGGAAAATAACTTGGAGATGGTGAAGGTCAGAAAAAAAGCTCCCAAGTAACCACTTATTGTCTAATCATTTTAGTGGCATACCGCTACACTTCATCTGTCACGTGTTTCTCAACAGTAGGCTATTCTGTCCTCCTTCCATTTAGCAGTGTCTGGCTCATGCTTCTTTTAGGTTTCCCTTTTTGCTGCTGTAGCTATTTACTTCTGTGTAATAGAAGGAATGATGTTGAGGGTTATCGCTCCATGTACATTTCACATCCTTCTAAAATTAAGAGTTGATAGTTGATACAGTGCTGCTGCTGTCTGTTCTGTTATCCAGGAGAACACTAAAATTACAGGCTGCTTAGTCTTTCACAGTGACTTCCCAAAACAGTTTTTATCTTGCCTGAGGGTTAAAAAAACAAAAACAAAAACACAGCACCACGCTTTAAAGATAATTGCAGCGAGAGTCATTAAAGTTTACACACTGCTTGAGCCTCTAAGTCAGGAAGTTTATCATGCAGAAGACCAAGCATACCTAACAGCCAAGCATCCCTGTTACCACTGCTTAACTTTGTATGTAAACAAAGAAACAATCAGGAATAAGTGGATCTTAGATGTAGATTCTTTCAAGGAAAAGTGGCTGGTTTTCAGATTTTTTTTCCCCTTCAGATGGCAGTACTTCAGGTTTGACAGTAGGAGGCATCTGTGCACCAGCTGTTCCAGAAGAATTTTCTCTAACTGGGCAATGCAGAACAAACATAGTATTTAGTGGAACTTCAGGCAAGGTAGCAGATCCAGAACACATGATATGATTGCAATGGATTGAAAACGTTTAAAGAAAAGATAATCAAAACCTCAGTGGGGTGTTTAGTGGGTTTAACCATGTTGAATGTGGGTTTTCAAAACACGAGTTATAAGAAACAGCATTTCGGGAAGATCTGTTTTGAATTCCATGTAGGAAAAATATATTTGTTATCCTTTGGTAAATTCTGCACAATAAAACTGGGATGTTGTGTTCTTTTTGCCATGGGACTCTGTCAGTGTTTCCTCCAACCCAAGTCCCTTAAGTTCTGACTGCTCTGGTGTTTTTTGGTCAAATGTAGTGTATTTAAAATGGCTGTTAATATTTGTTGGCATAGAGAATACAAGTTGAAATGGATGTTTTGCATGTTTACTTCTGATCCACATGCTGAGGTGAATTTCACCAGGAATAAATGGTTGTGAGTCTCTACATCAGCAGAGTATGTCCATCAGTGTTTAGAGCTGGGTTAAAAAGCTGACACTCATCACTTACCTCAGTGGAACTGAGAACTTTATACCATGGAGGTGGAATGAATGCAGTCCTGTTCTCCTACATAGTTGATGAAATCCTTCAGCCTTCTTCACCCATCTCAATTTTTTCCCCTTTGATTAATTACAGATTACTACTGGCACTGAGAACAAGTGATACCACTCGAATAAAAATGAGAGAGATTGTGCTAATGTACTTAAATACCGTGGTGCAGTGTTGCAGGGGAGAAGTTCCTGAATGCCTGCTGCAGAAATAATACGTAGGGCTCTGGCCCTAGTTTCTGTACTACGGGCTTGGGCATTTGCTAGGAAGCAAGTGACTATCACTTGTAGTAAATGAAATGTATAGGGGAATTGTTAGGAGCTTGTGCTTTGTGGGTTTAGTTCAATGTCCTGTGCCTTTATATTTGATATAGGTAAATACATTTTAACTTGACGTAAGACTGACTGTATGTTAAGGTTTGACAGTTTCAAAACTAAATCCATGTTCATGTCACAGTCAGGAGAAAAGTAGATGCAAAGCACATGAGAAGCCTGGAGGTTCTTGCTCCATGCAGGGTGTGTGTGTGTGTGTGAGCAGTGGGAGCTGAAAGTGCAGATCCTTGCGTGGGGCATTTGTGTTCAGGTGGCAATGAGCTGCAGACTGAGACCACTGCAAATGATGCTTGGTTCTTAACATGTATGTATTGTAATGCCTCCATTACAATAACCATAAGGCGGTTGTGAGGATGAACTCCATTTTTAGTGTACATACTGAGCTGTAAGGAGGAAGCACTTGTTGTCCAGTTAAGCAGACCTTTACAGCACACACCCCTTGTTTGAACTGTGGTCAGTGTGTTACCTTTGTTTCTGACTTAACTTTCTTCCTAGTTACCACAGGAAAGATAAAAACAGCTAGAAGAGTTGATTTTAATTGCTTTTACTACCTTAATTGTTTACCTCTCAGCAATTTATCAAAATTAACTTTGAACTTCAAGAGGAAATGATTATAATTTGCAAGATATGCAGAAGAAAACTTTGAAGAGCTTTATCAGAGAGAAACTCCATTAATACAATCATTAATAGTGAGTTTTTTCTAATGTGCTCCTATGGACCTGTGCAATGTGGGACTTGCTTTGTGCCTGCTAAGAGCAGTGTGAGGAGGGGGAGTTGATTTTTGCTTTTGTGTATTATTTTAATGGCCTTATGTTCAGCAACACACCATTTCCAGCATTCAGTTTATGGTGGCGTCGTCAACTAACTTCAGTTACATAGCTTTTGATTTTATGCCTGATACCCAAGGCTTGCTGTAGGTCACTTGGCTTTTCTACTCACGTGGTTTCAAGGAACTGAGAAGCAATCCAACCACTATGAAGATCTGTGGTACCAACAATCAGAAAAAAGAATCTTCTCTTTGTTAATTCGGACTCGTTTGTTGTCTGTTGTCAAAGTTTGCCAGTACGGGGCTTCCCCGAGGTGGGGGCGGTGAGAGGGATGCGTGCAAGTAATGTAAATCGTCTATATCCTTCATCACTACGTACCTCCTGTAAGCTGCTTCTCCCGCCCCAAGATCAGCTCGTTACTAAAACAAGGCTAAAGGCTGTGTGTGAGGCTCTGCTTTGTCGAACGTTACGGTGGCTGGAAATGCTGCGGTGCTGCTAGCAGCCGGCGCCGCTGCTCCTGGCCTCCAATCAGCGCCGCCCGCCCGCGGCGCTGGGCAGCCGTACCGCTCCCCCGGGGCCGCGCTCGGCCGTCGCTCTCAGCCGGCAGCCGCGGAGTCGGTGTCGCTGCGGGGCGGCACGGCCGGGCGCGGGGCTCCCGGGCGGCTGCTGCGGGTCGGGGCGGTGCCGGGCTCCTCCGCTGCCGGCGGGGCCGCCTTTTCCGCTGGGTGTCACTCTGGGGTGGGAAAGGCGCGCTCAAAAGCCGAGGGGCGGGAGAAGCCCTCCGCCACAGCTCCGCTCCGCTCCGGCAGCGCTCCCGCCACGCCGCGCCACGGGCGGCCGCCGCTGCGCTCGCTGCGGGCCGGGGCGCTGCGCCTCGGGGCCGGCGCCGGACGGAGGGTGCTGGGCTGGTGCCGGCTGCGCCCCGAGCGCTGCCCCTGCGGACCGCCGGCCGGGAGGATGCTGGAAAGCGGCTGCAAGGCGGTGAAGGAGGGCGTGCTGGAGAAGAGGAGCGACGGGCTGCTGCAGCTCTGGAAGAAGAAGCGCTGCATCCTCACCGAGGAGGGGCTGCTCCTCGCGCCCCCCAAGCAGCCGCCCCCACCGCAACAGCAGCAGCAGCCGCCGCCCGCAGCACCGAGCACCGAGCCCACGGCCAAGATTAAGGAGCTACACTTCTCCAATATGAAGACGGTGGACTGCGTGGAGCGGAAGGGCAAGTACGTGTACTTCACGGTGGTGATGGCCGAGGGCAAGGAGATCGACTTTCGATGCGCGCAGGAGCAGGGCTGGAACGCGGCGATCACGCTGCAGATGGTGCAGTACAAGAACCGCCAGGCCATCCTGGCCGTGCGCTCCACCCGCCAGAAGCAGCAGCACCTGGCGCAGCAGCCCCACGGCCCGCGCCTCCGCAGCGCTTCCAACTCCGCCTAGTGCCGGCGGCACGGCGCCCCGAGCCGCTCCGCGCTGCTGCGCCGCACTGCGCGGGGCAGCGACCGCGGCGGGACCGAGCGCGGCGCCTGGGGACGGAGCCGGGCGCGGCCCCGAAGCGTTTCAGCCCTTTTATTTATGGACCTCGGGACGGAGCCTCGGGTGTGACGGGACTTCGGGGAGACGTGATGTACTGTAACTTTATTTTAATGTGTTTTATTTATTAGGTTGTGGGGTTTTTTGTTTGTTTGTTTGTTTGTTTTTGCAAGGCATTTCTGAATGTAGGCCGTAGCCAAAAAGCAAAGAACGATGTATATGTGCTGGCTGCCTAAGGAAGCTCTGTGTAGTTTGGCCGTACGCAATTTGGCAGAAAGAGTTCTTCATTTGTGCCCCAAATACACTGTATTCTGCAAACACGGGGCATGCAGTGCGTGGTTGGAACGTGGCTGGAACCCGCGCTCTTCTTTCCAATGAGAAGAAAATTAGGATTTAGGATTTAACAATTCTCTTTCAAAACATATAAACGTGCGGTGGCCAACAACAACGCTCTGTACACGCTCGGTTATTCTACAAGTCACGGGTGATGGTTGCCGGGAGGTGAAACCCATCTGATGGGTCCATGAGCTGGGGGGCTCAGCCCCATCTCCATGGTGTGGGGTCACAGCCAGGCTCTACCTGGCTTTGAGGCTGCTGGGGAGCATTAGGAGTGTCCCTTAGCTCCTGGGGCTCCATCTGTGCTGCAGGCTCTCCGCCTTGGTTGGATTCTCATGGCAGTGTTTAAATGTCTTGCGTTAAAGCAGCCCCTAGTTTAAAATTCATCCTCTATATGTCGTAGTGATCAAATGGATTACTTTGGTCACCGTTCCATAAGGTGAAAGTCGCTCTATTAGTATTTAGAGCTGCCAGAGATGTGTGACCTGCCTCTATAAGCGCTGACAAAGCCATGAAGTTAGAGAACAAAGGTGCATCCCATAGGGGTTGGCAGCTAGCTGTGGGGAGCTGCCAGCCCTGGGTGCTGTGCAGAGTGGGGCTGAACTGGGGAGCGGGGAGCAGCACAGGGTTGTTGGTGGTAACTGATGTGTGAGGAGAACAGCAGCGAGGCCCTTTACAAATGTGAACGTAAACAAGATCTCTTGAAGCCGGGCATCCAGGACTTCTCTGCTTGTGTAACTGAGACGTGGTCTGTCTGTAAAACCCTGCAGTCTCATGGTGCAAGCTGTTCTCTAAGCACTTACAGGCAAAACTGAGCTGACACTGACCGAGAAATCAGAACCCGCTGCTGTACGAAGTGGTTCTTTAGGGCCCGCTGCGCACCCTCAGCTCCAGCTCAGCCCCATATGGAGCAAATGGTAATCTCTTACTGTTTTCCTCTTCCATCCCCTTGCCGCAGGTGTGCAGGTTGCATCCCCAGACACACAGACCTGGTGCTGAGTCCTGCCTACTCCTCTGCAGCCGCTCCTCTGTGTTTGGCCCTGCGCTGGCCTTGAAAACACTATGGCCAAGCTGAGGGGGCAGGTTACAGCTGTCCTAACAGAGCTGTCACTTGGGGTCTAATTGAAGTCGAAGGTGCCCTGCATCTTCGAGGATTAGAATCGCTGTCTTGGCAATCACAATAGCCAATTTCCACATCTCTGTACATCTGCCATTATCGTTCTGCTAATGCTTGGATGTTAGAGCTGCGAGGGGATTCTCTAATGAGCTAGTTGGAGACTTAAAAATAGGCTGTAATTTGTAATTTGGCTCCTCTCTTCAGTCATTAATTACGGTGTACTGAGCAACTAATCCACCTTTCCAGATAGACATATTGCTGGTAGCTCACCTACTAAAATGTGTTAGCCTCCTGAAGAATAAATGTACATGATGAGAAACGTTCCTACGTGATCAGAGACATGCACATTTCTCTGGTGGAGGCAGGTAGCCATGTTCTATGTGAACGTAGAACATCAGAGTTTCACTGAAGTCCATAGATCCATTGTGAAGCTGAAATTTCACTGCTCTTCTGGAGATGTTTGTAATTTGAAAATGAAAGATGACAATTTCAGTGATGTGATTGAGACTGAAGGTTGAAAAAGCAAAGGAAATTGAAAATGTCGAGGTTGATGGTTCAAGGTCGATGTTGTCTTTCACCTCAGGCTTCCTGTTTTAAGTTGCTTTGAAGGATGCTCTCCAAAAGCCATTTGGACTGCCGAGTTCACTGACAAACTTTTGCCTGTTACCCTTGCCCACTGCATTGCCGTTGTGAAACTCCAGAGTCAGACAGTCACATCACAGCACCCACCTCAGGCTGCGCCTGTGTCTCAGCCTGAACCAATGGGCCAAGGACACCCAGTGTCTCCTGGCGACTCCATTCCTGCTGCAAAGCAAAGGGAAGCGGATCAGGCAGGGTCCCCTGGGGACAGCTGCATCGTGTGGCTTGGGCCGTGTCAGCATTAAGGAGGCTGCATCGTCTGACGTCGTCAGCCCCATCGCTTTCTCATGCTCTAAATTCTCCAGTGCCCATGGCTGATAGCCATTTTAGACCCAGAACTGGTTTGATGTTATGCAGTGAGATAGTTGTGCTTTTTTGGCTTCCCTCTGTTCCACTGCACAGTCTTCACTGGAGCTGCACGGTTAAGTACTGTCTGTCATGCCTTGTAGGAAAAGGCTCTAATAGCCATCCCTGGAGATTCTTTGCAAGAAAAAGTCGTTATCCCCTTACAAGAAAGAAAGCAAACGAACGCACACAAACAGTGTATGGTTGATGTAAATTTCGCAGAGATTAAACAACAGTTGGTTAGTAAAACATGAATGGGAGAATGCTTGGTATGGGTAACAAAATTGCTGACAGCTGTCAATCAGAAGGTTAAAACTGTATGTCTTTATTTAAAAAAGAAAAGAGTGGCTGAGGGGCAAGATTCAACAAGAAAATTCAAGCTGTGGTGCCTGTTTTGTACCAAGGAAATATAGAAATTGGGGGGAAAAAGAACGATTGAATGGATGTGGTCCTTGTGACATCCTGAAGTAATTCCTCTCTTATGGCTCGTGGTACGCGCATGCCAACTTCTGGGTTATAGCTGTGGCGATGTACCAAACATTTTCTGGCATAACCTATTGTGAGCAGAAATGTCAGTGTCATCAAAAAACTTGTGTGTAAATATGACTCATAAATGATTTCTGAGAGATGTGATTTATTTTTCATATTTTTCAAGATGCATTCCATTTCAAATAAAGAGGTATCTATTGAAAGAATTCTCACTGTGTTGGACGAGTGGTTGTTCGGGCTGTTTTCTCACTTAAAAATGATTAAGGTCTGATCTAAGCTTTTCTTGTGTCCTAGGGCCAAAAAGGAATGCTTTTAACCTGTGTTAAAAACATGTGAAGAGATCTGATCATTTGGCCACTATACATAGCTCAGTTACGAGGCTCTGAGCTGTTGACTCGCTTCTTGCTGTGTGAGATGTGATCACCCACACCCAGTCCCACCAATTCAAGTAATGCACTGTCTACTTGGCCTCAAAGTCAATCCACATGCAACAGACCTTAAGGATGCGGTTCTCGGGCTCATAATCTTAAGCCATGAGTGCCTCACCTCATAGAACAGCAGGAACCTAAAGTGAAACATTACACGTGCTGTGTTGCCTTTTCCTTAAGCATCTGAAGTGTTGTGATTGAATATGAAGTAACCTGAAAGTAGTCCAAAAGACCGCTTCCGACTTTGGGTGTACCTTCCTACCAGTGACACATTTTCTTACAGCTTTGTGTGAAAAGAAATGAGGTACAAAGAGAAAAATGTGGGCTGGCTGCTGCTGCTTTGGGCCCTCTGCAGAACTGTGGCTGTTCTGATGCCTCCGACTCCCATGCGGTATGTTCAAATTGCAAAAGGTGTTGGTTTCTGAGCCTTATCTGAAAGCACATTAATTTCAGTCATCCAGTGAGCACATAGACCTGGGCTCACTGGTACTGCTTGCCTTCCCCGGATATATGTCAGCAGCCTCTGCCATAAGAAGGTTATTCTAATAAGTAGAAGATTCTCTTTTTCCTTAGTAAACATCTGAACTATAGGTATTTTAACTTCAAGCATTGCTTATGGATCAAATATTAAAGAATAAAACTCACAAACACTGATTGTCAGCAGCTTTGAGAAGCTTGCAGTTAAGTATCCCTGGCTTTATTGCCTACTCAAGTGCCCACTATCGCTTTTAAAGATGTCCCTTGTGACAACAATAAATAAGCATCTCTAAAAGGATACAAACACAGTGGAACAAGAATTTCATTATTTGCCACAGTTCCTGTTGCTGTGTCAATGATGATGCCTTTACAAAGGGGTATAGAAGATGCGTTTCTCCATTTTAAGTTGTGATTAAAGGATGGGAAGTAAGGTTGCCCACACTTCCGTTGTGTGTGTGCAGTAGACCTAGAAAAGGGGCCATTATTTTCCTACTGGAGAATATTGTTTTGAAAAGGTTTTCTCAAGTCTTTTTTTTTTTTTCTGATCCAAAGCAAGATAGGATGAAATCTGCGATGATTTATAAGTTTCAAGGATCAGCAATTAAAATCTGTGGGCCTGATTCAAAATTCATTGAAATCAATAGGATTTTCTTCCAGGCTAAGACTGATTTTGGCTGACAGTAGGAATAGTGGCTCATTTTCCTCTTCTGTCTAGAAAAAAAATGAATGCAACCTCAGAAGCACGATCTCTTCCCATAATGTGTGCCAATAGTGGTATGCAGTGATTAGTGTTACACTAACATTCTGGCCTTTCATCTTTCCTAATGCACTGAGAGAGAGCAGTAAGAAGATGGAATAATGCCCATGTTTTCAAAACACAATAATGTATTACAGAAGACACATTTGAACTGCTTTTATTCCTCTCAAACTAAATCTACACTGGAATGATTTCTTGCAGTTTCTTCCAGATCCATTGAATTCACAGCAGTGCTAAAATTAAACAATTTTCTTTTTAATTGAACCCAAATCATTACTAACCACAAAGCTTCACTTGCCTGGTTGCCTATTTCTGAGCA